GAGTTCAAAACCTAGTACCACCAAAAAAATTATTAAAATAATAGTGTAAAGAATATCCTTATAAAAACACATCATGTAGTTGTGTGACTATTCTAAGGGCTAGAGTCCTAGAACTAAAATGGCTAGGTCAGGGGATATAGATACTTTATTTTTTTTTTGGTGAAGAAAGGCTGTAGACACTTGGGAAACAGGCAGTAGAATCATGAGTCAATGCCAGTCTGGGCTAAACAGTAAGTTCAAGGTCACCTTGTCCACATAGCAAGACCCTGTCTCAAAAAGAAAAGAAAAAAAAAAAGACTACAGATTTGTATTACCATTAATAAGAAAAATGTCCTATACTGTTTAAATATCAAAAATGCTGAGGAAGAAATATGTTGCTAAAGAACATGAAACAGATCTTGAATTCTGTTCAGCATAGGGAACTGATACGGACTGAATGTGTGTTCCTTCCTTCAAATGTTGAAATCCTAACCCCAGTGGGATAGCATTAGGAGGTAGGGCCGTTGGTAGGTAATTATATCATGAGAGTGGACCCCTCATGTAAGAGATATGAAAAGAGCTTGCTCCCTCTCTGCCATGTGAGAACACAGCCTGACGGCCATCTACAAACCAGGAAGAATGACCCCATGACAGAGCAGATCTGCTAGTATCTCTGTCTTGGACTTTCTGTCTCTAGAACTGTACTAAATGTTTGTTGTTTAAGCCACCAACTATGGTAACTTGTTATAAGCAGCCCAAACTAACTAGGACACTGATTTTGACCAGGAGCTAGTGTTTCTCATCTATAAAGCCTGATACGTACTTTCTATAAGTGTTTACACAACTTCCCTTACTACTCTATACAGATGACAAATTCAGAGGCTCAAACGTTAGAAGCTGACTCTGCCACTAATGACGTGATCTTCTAAAATGCTGAGCAGTTCTAACAACCGGCCTCATATGTTGGAGGCCCCAGGTTCAAGCCCTGGTACTGCAAAGACATAACTAACTACTGTGTGATCTTCCATCTGTTTGTATAGTAGTTGCATATCTACAGAACTGTACAAGAATACTATTTTGCTTATATGGAAAAGGCAGTTAGGTAATAGGTTCATCTAATTATAATTTTTTTTTGCCTACCAAATATTTAATACATTTGAGAATTGTCCAAGACTATCCCAGGCAAGAGGTCTAGCATTTTGGCCTCTATGTACCAAACGGCCAGTGTGCTTCTCAATTATTGTGATCATCAAAATATTTTCTCCATTGTTGGGGTGTGGTGCCACTTCTTCTGAGAACCACTGTATCAAGTAATAAGAAGCCATCAAAAATATTTTCTCCCCTCAGCTGGGCATGATGGTACATACTTATAATCCCAGCACCTGGAAGACTAGACCAGGATCTTGAATTTGGAGCCAGTGTGGGCTAGAAGCAGACTCTGATTCAAACAAATAAGCCCCTGATTCAAACAAACAGACTTCAGTGCTTCATGCCTATAATCTTAGCTATTCAGGAGGCAGAGATTAGGAGGATCATGGTTGGAGGCCAGTCAAAATAAGTTAGAGAGACTCCATCTCAGCGGAAAAAAATGGGTGTGGTGGCCTGCACCTGTCATCCCAGCTAATGTGGGAAGCAAAAATAGGAGGATCTTGGTCCAGGCTTGCTGGGGCAAAAAGACCCTAATTCAAAAATGACCAACCAAAGCAAAAGGGGCTGGGAGAGTGGCTCAAGCAGTAGAGCCCTGCTCCCAAAAGATTACTGTATGTGTCCACATTTCCAATACCAAGAATTTTGTCCTGTTTCCTCATTTCCAAAAAAAATGAAGACCATTTTAATCTCTTCTCTGGTCTCATTCCCTCCCTACTCCACTTGACTTCACGCTCAATAAAACAACTACTATTGAGCTTGGTGTGTCCTCCCCATCCATTATTTGGACTTTTTTTTTTTTTTTGCAGTAGTGGGATTTGAACTCAAGATCTACACCTGAGCCACTATACCACCCCTTTGTGTGAAGGTTTAAGATAGTCTTGAAAACTATTTGCCTAGGCTGGTTTGAACCATGATTCTCCTGATGTCTGCCTCTTGAGTAGCTAGGATTACAGGCGTGAGCCACTCGCACCCACCTTTGTTTGGACTTTTATAATCACCTATGAATCCACAATTGTTACAACCTCATTTTTCCCCCCGTGGGTTTGTGATACACCCTCTAATAGATTGAAGTTTCCCACATACACATTCATCTGATTTTTGTTCATGATGTCATACGTGTATTTGTCATCACCTGCGCTGTCACAATATTAAGATGACTACTGGCTTTCTACTATGTCTTGATGTCTGGTAGGCCCATCACATCTTTATTCCTTTTCAAAACTGTCTTAGTTCCTTGTACTTTTAAACATTCTTAAGAGGAAAAGTAGTATCTTCCACAAACATTTAGCCGAGCAGGGGGAGAGGTCAGAGAAATTTCAGAAAATAGAGGTGGGGCAGAAAGGATGTCCTATTCAGAAGGAACAGAAACAAGGCATGGAAGAGAAAAAGTGTGGGTGGGAGGGTAACTGTCCAGGCAGGTTGTTACTACTGGTACATAGGGATGGGTGGGAGCATAAGGTGGGTCTTGGGACCTTATGTGGCATGCTAAGGAGTCTGAACACAACCTGGTAGCCAAGGACCTCAACCTACTGTCTACGACTAAGATTCAGAGAGGATCTTAAACAGGGGGTGCCGCACTCAAAAGTTGTTCCCAATAAATTATCTCTGACAGCAACGTGTCAAATTTAATGAGATCAGGATTAGATCACAACCATAAAAGGCTTCTGCAAAAAAAATAGTAAAAGTAAAACTGATTAAGTAGAGGTTTCAATGGTAAAAATGAACAATTATGTGTCTGGGAGCAGGGTGCAGGGAATTATCTAGTAAAGCTCTCCTATTTCTGATTTAAATGATGAGGTAGATAGCAGTTCCATCAATTAAAATAAGGGAAAACCCATGAAAGTTCCTAAAGATGAGGAGGAATGCTGTTAGTCATGAACATAAGTTTGAAAGGACTACAGGATATTTGAGTGGATATATCAAGCAATTAGATATATCTGAAGCTCAAAAGTCAACCTAGAAGATTGAGATTTAGAGGTTAGAAGAAGGCATTAATAGCTGACATTTATTATGTGTTATATGCAAGACAGTATTAAATACCTAGTATGAATTATCTCAGTCCTCAAAGTTATCTTTTAAATTAGGAGTGATTTTTTTTTTTTTGCCCCCATTTGACAAGTGAACTGAGACTTATGAGTAAGTCACTGGCCTATTGCAACAGAGCTATAATGGCCAAGCCAGGAAACCAACCCTGAGCTCTTGACTACTTTCTGTGTTAAGATCATTGAGTGCCTAGAATAATCTAGGGAAAATCTACTGAATTCAATGAGCCAAGAATAAAACTTTTAAAGAACATCAGGTGTTTAAGGACTGGAGGTATGACTCAATTGGTAGAGTGCCTGCTTTGCAAGTATGAAGCCCTGAGTTCAAACCCCAGTACTGCAAATAAAACAAAAACAAAAGTAAATCCCAGTACCTCAGAAAAAAAAAAAAAAGAACATCAGGTGTTTAAAGTGGGCATAAAAAGTTCCACAGTAAATCAAGAGGAGAAGTCAAAGGAGCGGGAGACAACAAAAAATAACGCTGTCTCCTGGTGGCTAAAGTAGGGCTTCAGTGCAGCAGAGAATAAAGGTAACAGTGGATTTGGCCCAAGGTAGGTCGTGATGGAACAAGGAATTTCAACAACATGGCAAAGTTGGGAGGAAGTTTACTTAAGTCTGAGGAAGTGGCAACATGGTGTAAAAGTATCTACTTCAATAATCTTCAATAGTTTGTTTCTATGGGAACAGAGGGCCTCAAGCAAGTTCATAGACTGACAAGACTGTGGGTGAGTTAAGGGAAGAGAAGGAAGCCAAAAGAGCAAGGTCTGGGTTGTAAGGGTAAAATTGCTGGCAAGCTAGTTCAAGATCAGCTATGGGCACAGGCTGAGTGAACAAGGAAACAGTTGAGAGAATAGGCTGACAGATTGGAAGAAAAGAGAAGAAATCAGAGTGTCCAAATTCTGAAACAGTAGAAATGAGAATGTAAATTCATTAAAAAGGACTCACTGTCTGGCACTGGTGGCTCACACCTGTAATCCTAGCCACTCAGGAGACAGAATCAGGAGAATCATGGTTCAAAGCCAGTCCAGGCAAATAGTTTGCAAGCCCCTATCTTGAAAAAACCTATCATAACAAAGGGCTGCTGGAGTGGCTCAAGGTGTAGGCCCTAAGTTCAAACCCCAGTACTGCCAAAAAAAAAGACTCAATTTTATACTTGGGTAGCAAAGCCACTATTTCCACTACTTGAAGGTGGCTTGGGAACTGGGAGAATAATGACCCTTACCATATAACAAATGAGAAAGCGGATGCAGCAATCTTCAGTAAACACACCAACAGAAGATGGTAGTAAAGGGTGGAGGAACAGGAAGGCTGGACTTTGTTTTCCTTTGTTTCATTGTTTGCAGTACTGGAGATCAAATGTAGGCAGGGTCTTGCACATACTAGCTAAGGAGTCTAACCACTCTACCACTAAGTTATACCTCCAGAGCAGCAGAGTGAAGCCCTGAGATCAAACCCCAGTACCACCCCCCAAAAAAAGACTGAAAAAGCCAGGTGTGGAGGTATGCATAGGAAGTGTAAATAGGAGGATAGGACCAAAGTACAGACCAGCCCAGGCATAAACACTAAACTGTATCTCAAAAATAACCAAAGCAAAAAGGGCTGGGGGCATGGCTCCCAAGTGTGAAGCACCTGCTTAGCAAGCACAAAGTCCTGAGTTCAAATCCCAGTACCACCAAAGCAGGAAAAAACATATCCCCCAATTCACTGGTGGGAAAAGCTCAAGATAAGATATGATATGACTAGAAAACTGGCAGTCAAGGCTTCACTTCTGTGGCCCATACATTATTTGGGTAAACAAAAACACCAAGACACAGAAATATTTAATGTCAGTAGATATACCTCATCCTCACATTCCTATTTATTCCATATCTCCACAAATTGTCAAACTGGAAGTAACCAAAGGAACCATGGGTGCTTTGTCCCAGCACGGTTTGAAAACCATCAAGGCCCTACGTCTTCTTGACTTGGAAATGATTACAGGTGGTCTTTTCACAGCATGTCACAGGCCTCCCTGCTCAAGAGGAAACGCCCAGAGTTCTACAGGACTCCTGAGGTCTTCTGTTCTTCAGCGGCCTGGCGCTGGGAACTTCGCAGCTGGAAATAGCGGTAGGCTCGGACGCTGCAGAGGTAGCCCCCATACACAGTGAGGAGCATCATGGAGGTAGAGAAGGTCTTGTAGCCAATGTCAGCTAGCTGCTTGGCAGTTGGCATGTCGTCCCCTACAAAGACAGACTGGATTTAAACCTCAGCATAAGGCCTCAACTCCCCAGCCCGTTGTCCTGTTTAGGGCCACTGCCTAACTTTTGCATCCTGCTGTGACAGTGAACTGCACTGGTAGGCAGTCTTATAAGGATACTAGAAGGCTTCACTTGGGAGCTCTACAATTCCAAAGGGCAAATAAAGTCTGCCTGTAAGACAGCAAGAGGCTGGAACCAGAGGCATCTGAATGCTATCACAGCTAACACTTGGCTCTGTGTGTGTGTATGTGTGTGTGTGTGTTTTAGCAATACTGGGGTTTGAACTCAGGGCCTCATGCTTGCTAGGCAGGTACTCTACCACTTGAGCCATTCTGCCAGCCCCCAGAATTGTTCTTAACTAGTACATCATTTGAAGTATGTATCAGTTTTTCTGGTTTGTGGGTAGCCAGAGATTAAACATTTGCAATGAATTATTCTGCTAGGAGGATCAAATGAGAATCTTTAGGCACTATCCAATTGCTTTTCCATAAAAAGTCTTATTCAGTAGTTAAATTCCTCTTTAAATTTTTTTACTTTATTTTTAAATTAGCATATATTAATAACATGAGGGGATTTCATACATACAGTACATACACACAGTATACTTTGTACAAGTTCACCCCTCCATTCTACTTCCAATTTCCCCCTTCCTTCCCCAACTCCCTTTTTTGAGGCAGGGTTTCAACCCAAGCTATCCTCAAACTCTCAATCTTTCTGCCTCACCCTCCTGAATGCTGGGATTACAGGTATGCACAACCACACTTGGCTCCCAAATTACTCTTGAAGCATATTTAAACCATAGCCTGAAATAGTGCCAATGGTACTTTTATTTCAATTACACTTAACCTTCTATTACAGCATTAATTCTAAGTTCCAAACTGAACACTAAGAAACCATTTCAAGGGTTTAAAAGAAACTTCCTGGGCTGAAGGCATGGCTTAAGTGGTAGAGCTGCCTTCTAGCAAGTGAAAAGCCAAGTTCAAATCCCAGTATGGGGAAAAAAACCCTAAAAAACAAAGAAACTTCCTGTGTTCTGAGTGCCCATTAAGTGTTAACTCATATTTACATGAGATAAATTCCTTTTTTGTTGTTTGATTTTTTTAAGACAGGGTCTTGCTACATAGCTCAGGCTGGCCTATACTTTGCTGTGCAGCCCAGCAACTCACAATCCTCTTGCCTTAGCCTCCAAAGTGCTAAGATTACAGGCATGTGCCACCATGCCTAATTATCTAATTTAACAGTTCTCCAGTTATTCTGAGCTAGGAAAATAGAGAAAGTTTCATATGGGACTCTCTCATCCAGAACAAGATGTTCCTCAATTTGGGACTATGAATGTATTAAATTCCTCTCTATTGAAGGAACTGAAATTAATAAGGACTGATTTCTTGAGAGCACAGAATTTGGGCTGGGTACAGTGGTGCATCCCTGTAGACCCAGCTGCTAGGAGGCTAAGGCAGGAGGATCACTTGATCCCAGGAATTTAAGGAACCTGTCTTAGCAACATAGCTAGACACTTGTCACAAAAAGAAAGAAACAAAGGTCAAAAATCTGGAGGAAGATAAGCTCAAAATTAGTGGGCTGGGGTAAGAGATACATGAGTGCTTCTCAGAGTAAGCCCTGAGGTCCTAGAAGCTGAACCCTGCCTTTTGAGGCAGGCCTTAAGGTAGACCCCAAGATGAGCTGAGGCAGTTTCTTTGAATGTGCTAAGGACATCAAATTAAAAAGTCTCTGCACAGCAAAAGAAACAGTCAATGGATTTAAGAGCCCACAGAATGGGAGAAAATCTTTGCCAGCTATTTATCTGATAAAGGGACTAATTAATTCAGAATCTGTAGGGAGCTCAAAAACTCAACCCTCCAGAACCAACACCCCAATGAAGAAATGGGCACATGAATTGAATAGGGAATTTTCAAAGGAAGAGGTACAAACAGCCAACAAGTACATGAAAAAGTGTTTGACTTCCCTGGCTATAAAGAAACGCAAATCAAAATTATACTAAGATTTCATCTCATACCAGTTAGAATGGCTATCATCAAGCACAAAAACAATAACAAATGTTTTTGGCGAGGATGACGTGAAACAGGACCCTTATACACTGTTGGTGGGAATGTAAATTAGTACAACCATTATGGAAAGCAGTATGGAGATTCCACAAAAAGCTAAAAATAGAACTGCCATCTGATCCAGTGACACCACTCCTGAACAAATATCCAAAGGAATGTAAGTCAGGATACAATAGAGATACTTGCACACCAATGTTTATCACAGCACTGTTCACAATAGTCAAGCTACTGAAAGAACCCAGGTGCCCTACAACTGATGATGAATTAAGAAAATGATACACACACACACACACACACACACACACACACACACACACACTGTGGAGTTTTATTCAGCCATAAGGAAGAATGAAACCATGTGATTTCAAGGTAAATGGATGCAAATGGAGGACATCATGTTAAGCAGAGTAAGCCAGGTACAGAAAGACAAAGGCTGCATGTTTTCTCTTGCATTTGGAAGTAGAACCAAAAAATAAACATATACACAAAAACAAACAGGATCACATATGAACTTGTTTGTAATAGTGGAACTACTCTATAGGGCTTGGGGGAGGAAGGAAAGGAAAAGAGAATGATAGTCAACAATATCAAAATACATTACATTTGTGCAGTAAAGGATATAACCGTATGTACCGAAAGCTGTTGCATAATGGGGATGGGAGGAAAGGGGTAATGGAGAGTAATGGAAGGGGTTGAACTGACCAAAGTACAGGATACTCACAGAAGGATACATTGAGAAACCCTTTTGAACACTGAACTTGGAATTACTATAAATTACTAACAATGACTATAAAATATGTACAATGTGTGGGGGGTACTTGTGGGAGAAGGGAGAGTGAATGGAGGAGATGAAAGTGAGGGAATATGGTTGATGGGCTTCAGATACATACACAAAGTAGAACAACATAACCTCTTGCAATTGCTTTGAGTGGGGCAGGTCAGGTACTAGTGGCTCACACCTGTAATCCTAGTTACTCAGGAGGCAGAGATCAGGAAGATAACAGTTCGAAGCTAGCCCAAGGCAAATAGTTCATGAGACCCTGTCTTGAAAAACCTATACAAAATAGGGCTGGTGGAGTGGCTCAAGTGATAAGGGTGCCTGCCTAGCAAGTGTGAGACCCTGAGTTCAAGCCCCAGTATTGCCAAAAAATAAAAATTTGTAGTGGGGTGGGAGGGGGTTGGGAGGGCAGGGCTGGGAGGAGCAATCTAACCAATGTACAATGTAAGGGTATTCAGGATTGTCACAATGAATCCCCCTTGTACAGTGACTGTATCCTAACAAAAATGAAAAAAAAAAATCGCTGTGGAAAAGTGGCACAGGTTCGAGAAGAGAAAGGGCTGTGTTCTGGTTATGTGAAGTTTGTAATAAGCTCAAGCTGCGCCTGAGATGTTGAGGAAAACACAAGCACAGAGCAAGCACGCTAAGGTAGCAAATAAGCACCTCAGAGACAACCTTCATCAACCTCTCCTTCACTTCATCTTTCTTCTGCCATCCTCCATCCCCTGGCCAGAAGCTAATCAGTTATAGGATGCCCTCTTTGAGGGCTAGAGGGAAAAGCTGGAAGCATCACCAGCCAACAAAGGAACAGGATGGTCCAGCTTGTTTAGAAGAGTGACACAAGATCTACTACCAGATTTGACCCTGTATTTAGAACCTCACTTCCTTCTCTGCTCTAATCCATCTTAGGCTGTTCCTATTTACTTTCTTTTGTCTTTCTTCTATTCATTAGTTTACTCATTCATAGACAGGGTCTTGCTGTATAGTCCAGGCTGGCCTTGAACTCAAGATCCTCCTGCCTCAGCCTCCTAAATGCATGGTGCACCATCATGTCAGGTCTCTTATTTCTTTTCTTTTCTCTTTCTCTTTTCCTTTCCCTCTCTCCCTCCCTCCTTTTCTTCCTTCCTTCCTTTTTTGATTTTGAACTCAAGGCCTTGTGCCTGGCTCTACCACTTGAGCTATGGCCCCAGCTCTTTTTTGCTTTAGTTATTTTTCAGATACGGACTTTCATTCTTGCTCTGGGACAGCCCTGTCCTGTATGTGCCATCACACTCACTGAAGATTCCAGTTTTGTTTTACTAATTAAGAAGGCAGATGTGAATGTGTTTTAAAGAGGAAGAAGGTGGTGACTAAATTGAGAATTAAAGAAGTGAGGTAGAACCAACAGAACCAACCCAAGATGGCCTAGGAGAAAATGAAATTAGAAGGCCAGGTAGAAGGATTAACCTTGGCAATGAAATTTCTGAGTTTAGCACAACTTTCTCATCTGAGGGACATCCATTTCTCTTTCTCTCTTTCTCTTTTTCTTTCTCTCTCTCTCTCCTTCTCCCTCTCTCTCTCCTTCCTTCTCTCCCTGTTCCTCCCCCTACCATAAAGAAATGATAGGGCTGGGGGTGTAGCTCAGTGGTAGGGCATGTGTTTAGCATGCTTGAGGCCCTGTGTTCAATCCCCAGCACTATGAGGAAAAAAAAAAAAAGGATAAATGTTTAAGGGATAGATAAACCAGTTACCCTTTATTTGATCATTACACATGTGTATCAAAACATCATGTTGTAACCCACAAATATGCACAATGATGTGTCAATGAAAAATGAAATAGGGCTGGCCACGTAGCTCAGCCACATAGCTCAGTGATAAGAGTACATGCCTAGCAAGTGCAAGGGGTTGATCCCCAACACTGCAAAAAATAAAATAAAGCATGGTGGCATATGGCTGTAATCCCAGCACTCAGGAAGCAGAGGCAAGAGGAATGAAAGTTCAAGGCCAGCCTGGGCTACATAACGAGACCACTGAGAAGAGGCTCAGTGGAAGTTCAGAGACAGGGTGGGGCTCGAGAAGGCCTGGTACAAAAGTGTACGGGTATAGAGCTGTCGTTTCGGAAAGGTGGGAAGGATTTACACTAGGACTGTAAGGAAGAAGGGCATTTGACTGGCATTTGGAGTTGCAGGCAGGAGTCTAGAGTTGACAAGACAGCGCTGCGATAGAGCAAAGCTGCAAGGGGGTTGGGCAGGAAGCTGCGCAGCGGACACGCACGATCTCAAGGACACCGCAGCCAGAAGGTGGGCAGATGCAGGGAGCCAGGGCCCACCCGGGTGGGCGCGCACTCCGCGGCCCCGCGGCCCCTGCTGGGCCACAGCCAAGGCGTACCTGGATGCTGCAGCTCCTTCGTTCTAACCGAGGCTTCCGGAGGCCGTGTCTTGTTGCCACCACCTGCACAACCCCCTAGCGTGGCCGAAAGCCACACCCTGCACCAACACGTGCAGGTAGCAGTCCAGGAACAACCCCGAACGCCTCAGCTATTGGTGCCGAAAGCTGCCCTTCGTTCCGCCTACCTAGTCGGAGTGACCTCTAGCATTTGCTCCCAACGCCAGCGAGCAAACCCACGCCTGTCTCCGCAAAACCCCGCCTAACCCCGCCCACTAAGGCGGGAATTTGCGCGGGCTGCTGCTCCGGCTGGTGGCTGGCTTTGAACTTCCGGCTTCCGGGTAAGTCATCAGTGTTACGCATCTTCAGACGAGACTTTCTCGCCGAGAGGCCCGTTGAATTCTGGGGGTTGTGGTTCTGCCCCATGAACTGAGCGTCTTTGGTGACCCAAACTTGGAAATCGGAACTTATAGGAGGCTCAGTCAGAATCAGCCAATCCGCAGCCTATGGGCGCGGTGACGTTTCCGGTAGCTAGGTAGGTTCTCTCTGAATCAACCTTCGGGAGGCGGAGCGCGCGCCCGCTACAGCCCGGAGTAGCCAGGTTCCTGAGTGGTGTGGCTGTGGGCTGAGCTCAGGTAGGGACAGGACGGGCACTGCGAGGCCATGAAGGGTAACCCTTCATGGAGTGCGCACGAAGAGTAACCCTTAGCTTTTCTGACTCATGCTTGACTCCCCGTTTGCAGGCGCCATGATAAAGCTTCTAAAGAGGCGCCGGGTCGGGCGCCAGTGACTCACGCCTGTAGTCCTAACTGTTCACAGGAGGCAGACATCAGGAGGATCGAGGTTCGAAGCCAGCCTGGGCAAATAGTTCCGCGACACCCTATCTCAAAAAACCCTTAACAAAAATAGGGCTGGTGGAGTGACTCAAAGTGAAGGACCTAAATTCAAGCCCCAGTACCGCAAAAAAAAAAAAAAAAAAAGCAAAAACATACACACAGTGATATATGACAGCACGCACACGCCTACATGCATAGAACTCCACCAAATCGTCCAGTTTTGGAAAAAACACGCTTTATTGGGTGGACAAGTGGCCCGACAAGAAGGCCTTGGATTCAGTTGTCTGTGGACCGAACAGAAGTAGGTAAAGGTGTCGGAAGCTGTCTCTGTTTCCCCTCCAACCTCCTAGGTGACTGTGCCCCTCCTCTCTGAACCTCAGTGCTGCCCTTCACTAGTGAGACTAAACTCTTAAGGGCTAGGAGCCAAGAGCAACCCAGCACCCTGGCTTGCTGGGGAGTAAGGAAGGGTTAACACAACATTGGCCAGAGCCAGTGTGCCAGGTGCTGCCACACAAGAAATGGAGATCCCTGCTGGATGCAGGGGCCTCTCAGCCGTCAGGGACTATTTATAGCTAGGGTCCCAGGCTGCTGACTTGTGACATTCCCCTGCCACTACCCAGTTCTGAAGCAAAGCCTATGCAAAGCACACTTCTCTCCCTTCCTACTCCCTTCCTCTCCTTACCCCAGGGGGCAGGGCTGTCTTTATTTTCTTCCTCCTCCTTGAATTTCTCAGTTCCTAAAGTGTTGATGTAGTTAGTCCCTCATGAGAGGCCCTCATTCAAGGAAAGAGAGCTGATCTGGCAATGTCAAGACCCACCAGTGTGGGAACCTGCTCAGCCTTTAGGCCACTCTGGCCCCAGGTCTGCAGATACCAGCTGCTGGTTAGCTCTCCTGGCTGCTCGAGGGCAGCAGAGAAAGAGGTGCAGAGTTGGAGAGAGGGAAGGGGTAGAGTCAGGGCCATCCTCTGAGGTGATAAACAGCAGAAGAGACCCAGCTGACACCTCCCCCCACAGCTAGAGCTACTGACTAGGGCAAATACAAAGGTCATAGGGAGCCCAGGGATCTGAGCCTGCTATGAAAAGGTGGAGCTCTGTCAGCAGATTAAGTTCCTGCTCCCCAAAAAGGGTGCTGGCGGGGCAGGAAAAGGAAAGGTCACACAGGGTGGGGAGGAGCTGGCAGAGATCTGGGAACCAGGAAGTCCCTAGGGAGAATGGCAAGCCGTAGGGTCAGTGATGCCAACATGGAGCAACTCTTGCGCCAGGTCAGCCTGGAGAGGAGGGGAAAGGGGATGACCAGAGATTTCTGAGGACCCAAATGTTGCTAGGAGAAGCTAGAAGGGAGTTGTTTGAGATCTTTGTATTTTCCTAACAAAACACTGGGATCACTGAGGCTGTGAGCCACCTGGCATAGATCAGCCAAGGGGTCTCTGGGGCCAATGTCAGCTGAAACACCCAGACCCTTCCCTGGCAGCCCTTGCCTTATCCTTCCTGTGGCTAAGGTACTTCTTTAGCCACTTAGTCAGGCTTGGGGACAGGTTCCTGGTCTGTGTGAAGCAGAAACGGGCAGCCTTTGCTCTAGTGCCCTTTTATCCCTCCACCCACCCCACCCCTAGAGCAGGTAGCACTGGGACTTGAGTCTATGCCTTCCATAGGACTGTGAGAAATCTCCACATCTGGAGAGAGACAAGGCAGTCTCATTTCTGCAAGAGGCTGCCAGCTTCCTGTAGTTCAGTACCCCAGGTTTGTAGCTGAGCCCCCCAGCCTTCTGTCCTCCAGTGTCCTTCAATGAACAGATTGCTCAGTGGGGAGTCCTGAAGATGTCATGGTGACCAGGTCCCAAGCTCTGCTTCTCTCTACTAGAGTAAAGGAACTGCCTTCCTGGGCCCTTGGCCCCACTCACATGTGTTCTGGATGATTCTGCAGGCAGCAGATGAATTCACCCACTGGCTGGCCCTCATAGCATATCTTGTACACAGCTGTGAACAGCGGGAACCTAGAATGAGAAGGAGGCTCAGCTTAGCTTCCCACCCTCAGCCCACTCTCTACTCCCCACTCCTCATTCCTTCTACCCCCTACCCTCCCACTTTAGAGCTCAATTTCCACCTGCTAGGAATCTGAATTCTGCAGCCCTGGGTTTTAGGGTCAGGTTGCTAACTGCCCTGCTTCCTGTCACACTGACTTGCCTACATGAGTCTTTGTCTTTAAGGGTGTGTTGTTGCTGTTGTTGTTTTCCAATTGAACAACCCATTTAAATGCTGAGCCTTTGCTGGTCGGTCGTGGTGGCACACACCGGTAAACAATGAGGCAAAGAGGATGAGGCAGGAGGATCACAAGTTTGAGGTCAGCCTGGGCTTTTTAAAAAAATAATAATAATAAAAAAAATGCTAAAGCAACTGAGGCCAATAGGAAAAGGGGAACAGGTACTAGAGAAAAGGTTAGATCAAAAAGAATTAACCTAGAAGGTAACACCCACGCACAGGAAATCAATGTGAGTCAATGCCCTGTATAGCTATCCTTATCTCAACCAGCAAAACCCCTTGTTCCTTCCTATTATTGCTTATACTCTCTCTACAACAAAATTAGAGATAAGGGCAAAATAGTTTCTGCTGGGTATTGAGGGGGGGGAGCGGGAGGGGGCGGAGTGGGTGGTAAGGGAGGGGGTGGGGGCAGGGGGGAGAAATGAACCAAGCCTTGTATGCACATATGAATAATAAAAGAAAAATGAAAAAAAAAAAAGTGTTCTCAGTTCGATAAAAAAAAAAAAAATGCTGAGCCTCAATAAAAATGGGTCCAGTACGACAAAGTAAAGAAGATATGATTGTATATGTGACCATGCATTATATGAAGGAGTCAAAAAATGTGTTTCCTTCTTGCCATCCTCGTCAGGCTGCTCCCTTTACTGCAGTCATGAGCTGCTCTTCTGAACCTGTTTCATACTCTCTTCTAGGATTCTTTCCCAGGCCAACAGAGCTCTGCTCTGCTCAGCCCAGTTACCCCATTATCTATGCTCCCTGGAAAGGAACATCTTAAGCACCACCCATCCTTCTCAGCACTCAGGACAGGGTTTGGGGACAGAAGGGTTGGTCTTGGGAAGATGAACAAAGGCAGCAGGATAGTCAGATGAGCTTATTCCTGCCCCAGAGCTCCAGTCCACAGAGCAGGGAGCAGGGAGGAAAAGACATAAAGCTAAGGCTATGCAGGGGGGAGGGGCACAGGGAAGGGTCCAAGTAATGTAAAGACCAAATGAGCTCAAGACCATGAATTGGCTGAGGACAGGGGGCACTTCAGACTATCCATGCTCTAAACATGAGCCCACTTTTCAGGTTGTACAGGGCTCAAGAAGATGGTGAAAGGGGTTCAGGAAATTGGTCTGTGACTCCCAGGTCTGGGGTTGTGGCATACACTCACTTGTCCACCAGGCCCTTGTGCTGGAGGATGCTGTGCAGCTCCCGGGCTGTTTGGGGCCCCTGCAGCTTCTGCCCATTCAGCATCTCTTTTTCTAGCTGCTCAATGGACTGTGAAGGAAACAGAACGTGAGGGTGGAAGAGGGAGACAGGGTTGTTCCATGAGCTGGAAATCTGGGGGCTCAGATGGGAAATGGGACTTTGGGGAGAAAGAAGGGGTAAGATTGCTCACAACAGTCCCCCCAACCCATGACGGACCCCAAGGCCTTGTGCATGATTGGCAAGTGCTCTACCAGTGAGCGGCATCCCTAGTCCCTGCTCACACAGCTTTTGTTTGTTTTGTTTTTGAGACAAGGTCTGGCTATGTAGCTCAGGCTGCCCTCAAACTTGCTATCCTGCTTCAGCCTCTCTAGTGCTGGCATTTACAGGCATGTGTCACCACACCTGGCTCACAACAATCTTCACATGTGTGCTCAAGAGCCACCTCCTGCTGGGCACAGGTGGCTCATGCCTGTAATCCTACCTACTCAGGAAGAGAGATCAGGAGGATCGTGGTTCGAAGCCAGCCTGGGTAAACAGTTCCATGAGACCCTACCTCGAAAAAAACCTTCACGCCTTGTATGCACACATGAATAATAAAAGAAAAATGAAAAAAAAAAAAATAAAAAAAAATCAGGCCATATTTGATACATTTGAAAAAAAAAAAAAAAAAAAAAAAAAAAAAACCTTCACAAAAAAGGGCTGGTGGAGTGATTCAAGGTGTAGGCCCTGAGTTGAAGTCCCAGTACTTCAACTTCCTGCAACAGCCATGGCTCTATACCACCCCATGGTGACCAAGAGCCTGAGCAAGCCAAGGCACAGTCACCACTGCAGGCACCTCAGTGTACCAAGTTTGTACAGGATATGATGTGGGAGGCGTGCCACTTTGTAAGAACACCTCACCATGGGGCTGCTGACAGTCTTCAAGGACAAATAGGCTCTCAAGTTCATCAAGAAAAGGCTGGGGACATATCCCCACCAAGAGGAAGCAGGAAGAGCTCAGCAACATGCTGGCTGCAGTGAGGAAGGCAGCTGCCAAGAAAGACCAAGCCCCTCTCCTCTGCCCAATAAGTGTTTACATTTGCAGAAAGGGAAGGGAAGAGCCACCTCTTACTAAGCACCTTCACCTGGATACCTGTGGGCTCACGCTCTGTTCTCCATGCAGGGCTCACCTTTCCAGTGCGAGCAAAGGCCTCAGCCACCTTGCGGTTCCGCCCTCCATAGCAGGTAGTAATCAGGTCAGCAACACCACAGCTCTCCAAGAAGGTGGCAGAGGACACAGGGCCACTGCAGAAGAGCTTGGCAAAGGCGATCATCTCCATGAGGCCCAGCCGGATCACTGCTGCCTTGGTGTTGTCGCCAAAGCCCAGCCCATCACAGAAGCCAGCCCCCACGGCCACTATATTCTTTGGAGAGCAGAAGGCATGGGTGAGAAAGTTCCCCTGTGGTGACCCCTCTTGGGGACCACATCACCTACTTCATGTTCTTCAGATAGCCATAATACACCCACTAAGTGCAGTATAGTGTATGAACTCCTAAACTATTTCCACCTTCTGGTTTTCCCATTCACTGCACCCCCTTCCTTAAGCTCCACTCCATACTCCATTCTTGAGGACACTTTCTGAGAACCACTTTTCTTTCCAGCTGGCCTTCCCATCCACGTCCATTCCAATTCTGTTCTGTAGTCATCATGTTCACAGTTGTCTAGCTATCAACCTTTCTGGATGGCCTGAATGTCTTGTCTTCCATTAGCCTGGACACCTCCTTTTTTTCCTGGACCACCCTCTGGAGCCAGGGCTAGGGAAGTGCCACAACAGGCTCTACCTGCCTGGAGGGGGAAAGGCCCCCTGCCTGATGGTAAAGAATGGACAGACTTGAGTGACCCTGTCCTTGCTTCTGCTAATCTTCCCATGTGTATAGCACTTGAGGAAGGGGAACAGCTATCCAAGAGTGAGACCCAGTGACCTTGTATTGCTAAGCCAGGCCTTCCTTTGGGACCTTCACCCTACTATAGCTGCCTCTGTGCCTCTCTCACCTTTAAGGCCCCGCAGATCTCCACTGTGTCCACCTCTTGCACCACTGTGATACGGAAATTGAGTGTCTGCATCAGTTCTTTCAGAAGCTGTCCCTGGGCCAGGTCCTTGCAGCCTAAGGTGGGGAGAAGGCAAGGTTTTGATGGCAGACTTTTTTTTTTTTTGAGATAGTTCTCACCATGTTGCGCAGGCTGGCCTGGAATTCCTGGGCTAAAGCGATCCTATCTCAGTCCCAGAAATAGTTGGGACTACAGGTGCAATGCCCTACACCCAGCAAGGGGGGGCACGCTCAACTGTTCTTCCCACACTTGCCCTAAGCAGGACCTGCAGGTCCCTGGGGGCGTCCCAACCCTCCCTCACTTCTGACACTTCTTTCTCTACCTTGTGGCAGGAGATGGCTAAGTGGGGCTGGGGGGAGGAGAGTTTGGGGAAGGGAAGCAACTAGAGCTGCATGGTGTATGCAGGGAGCTCTCACCAATGGTGGTCTCACAGAACTTCTCATCAGCCACCTCGTTGGCAATGTTGGCCCCCATCAGCACGCTCATGGGGATGCCAAGGCGTTCCCCAATCACTTCAGAGATGAGCTTCAGCCCATTGGGGCCCTCGTCTACCCCCTGGGCACAGGATGGAGCTCAGGCCAGCTGCCCTTTAAGCCCAACTGAGGGCTTCCCACCCAGAAATTCTGCCCCTTCCAATCCACTGTTTATTAGTGTCCCACCTCAGATGCCCTGCTCCACTCCAACCCAGCCTAAGCTTGCCGCAAGGCGGGTAGACAGTAGTGACAAACCATTCCATTGGCAAACTCTCCTTCCATGTACTTGCAACCAACCTACCTCTCCAAAGCAGCATATCGCCCTCCCAGCATCTCAGCCAACTTCTAGCTGGGCACTTCTCCAAACCAGCTACCTGTTCCTACTCCCAAGCCAGCCCACTTCAACTGTCCCTCAATATCCCTTTTACACTTCTTGAACTCCCCTGAGGCATCTGCCTCTCATTACTCCCCCCACCCCCAGCCATCCCCACCAACATTATCTGACTTTTTTTTTTTTAAATGTGGTGCTAGGAATCAAATTCAGGATCTTACGTAAATTCGGCAAGCCTATACCCCTGACCTACAACCCCAGCTCCTGACTACTTTCTTGATCCTCTCCGAAACCAATTCCTCTCTTCTTTCTGGAACATTTGACCAATTTCTGCCATTTTCTGTTCTGTTTGCTTTACCCACCCTGAGCCCCATAAAAGTTAGCTGAACCACCCCACCCCCCAATCCACATGACGGTGTCCCGGGCACCTTAATTAGAGATATGCCGATGGTGTTAGCCTTTAGGTGGCCCTTGAGCTGGTCACAGATCTTGCCAATGAACTGATGGGGCACCACAAAAATCAGGATGTCAGCATCCGCTGCAGCCTGGACCACATCTGGGATAGCCACCTGTGGGGTGACAGGTGCTCATTGACCTTGCAGACCTCTCCTAATCCCCAAGGAGCCCTGTTCAGGAGATCTAGGATCCAGAGAGTGAGGCATGGGGAGAGGGGGCAAGCAGGGTGGTTTGGGCTTGAATCTGGGAGACTGAACTTGAAAGACAAAGACCTCCTGTTCCCTGTCCCCAGCCACCATGCCCTCTCCACTCCAGCTGTCCTGGGTCCTTGAGGACTCCTGGAACCCTCATCTCCACACTCACTCATCTAGCCCTTGGCTGTGCGACAACAAGGGAGGCCAAAGGCAGCCTGGGCCTGGCAGGAGCAAGACATCAAATTAGATTTTATCACACTGGGTCTTAGTGGCTCCAACAAGGAAGGGAGAGCTCCAGCCTTTTTGCTATCTACCCTGCTCCCCCTTTCCAGGTGAGGAGAGAGCCACATGAATTTGATCAAAGATCAAAAGTCCAAGGAGCAGCCTCCAAATCTGCTAATTACTCAGTGAATGAGTAACAGGATTAGAGCATGGGGCAGGCACTATCAGACCCCAAGTCTGGGAGCTTGAGAACCAGACTTTGCTTGCCATGGAGACCAACCTGGACCTCTCGCCCCTCTCTTTCTCCACCTGGGAACCTGTCAGGGAAGGTACATTCAGGATCTCCTCAATCCTAGAAAATGCCCAAGGGAGCAGTTTGGGGGCTTCATGGGACTGCCCAGAGAAGCCTTTCTGAGACACTTCCCAAGACCAGCTGGTCCCCTCTGAGCAGAAGGCACCTCTAAGTGAGATGTGAGAGCGAGTATGCTGTACTTCCTCTCTGCTTTTCTCCCTCCCTCCCTTGAAGGGAGCTGGGGCTTACCACATTGTGGGGCAGCTTGTGCCCAGGCAGGTATTTTACATTCTCATGCTGTGTGTTGATAATCTCTGTCAGCTTTCTGCCCCCGATGTCTTCCTCAAATACCCACATGGTCACCCGTGGGTCAAAGCGTGCCAGCTGGGCTGCATTGCCACCTACAATCTTGGCAATGGCTGAGCCCCTGGTGGGAGAGGGAGCACAGCAAAGTGGAGGATTAGGGTGTGAGGCAGGGAAGGGCGGGGGGTTGGGGCAGTGCCCCCACTGCTGGGCCTCACACAGCTGGCTAGATTATTTCCCACCTTTCTCATCACTTCTGTCCCTATGACAAGTGTGTCCCCATGACCTGGCAACAGAGAGGAAACTAAATCTACCCCACACTTTGTTGCTAGAGGAGGGCGAGCCTTCTGATCCCACCTCCAAACCTCCGTGGCTTTTCAGGCAGGGAAGGGAGCAAGAACTCTGTCCGCCTCCTATTGCAAACAGGTGCAGCTGTCCAGGCTGGCAATGGCTGGCCAGGGAGATCTGGGTACCGTCTGTCCTGTGCGTGTAAGCACTGAAGACAGAAGCAGGGGTCTGGCAGGACTCTGAGGGTATTTCCTATCCACTCTCTGCCTCCTGTCCTCCCAGCCCCCCCATTGAGCCTTGGGGAAAGCCACCCTTCCACCGTGGATCTTGTCAGAGCTGCTTACCAGTTGCCGGAACCCACAATGCAGACTTTCTTGCCAGCCATGGTGCTCCTTCTCTGCCCAAGCGCTGGTGCTGACTCTGAGCATTTAACTCCCACACACGTGGGTGCTGCTAAGCCCCGCCTCCAGGGGTGGCCAGGAGGCTGGTGCCCAGGGAGATAGAGTCTGGCAGAGCCAGGGAAAGGGGAGAAAAGGGTAGAGACAGGTGGGGAACAGAAATGGGACAGAGGCCAGGCCAGCTTTTCCTCCTGGGCTTGCAGCTAACAATACTGGGAAGCTTCTTCCCTAGATCCCAGCCTAGTTTCCCATCTGCCCCTTGCCATCATCTTATTTTGGGGTCTGCCAAGAAATAGCCAGATAAGGACAAGTGACTGGTCTCCACTCCCTTCTATCCTCAGCACTGAAATAAACTGTATTTAGCCCTAGTATCAGATATGGTCATGTTTTCTTTTTGAAGGTAGGAATTCTCCATCCCCTGCCCCAGCATGTACCTTCCCGGGTCCTCCAAAGCTGCTCTAGTTTTGTCCTCTAGCAGCCCCACACTGGCTCCACTGCAGGGCTGTGGGTGAGGAAGGTTAGTGGACATGGGCCAAAGTTGAAGGATAAAGCCACATATGAGGTAAGGGCCTGCCGTGGGGCCAACTCAGCCCAAAAATGAGACTCAAGCTTCCCAGGACAAGGTCATCTTGCTCACCCACCCATCTTGGGATTCATTAATGGACCACTTCACCTCAGATAATCATCACCTGAATGTCTTTTAGGAGGAAGGTGGGAAAGGTCAAAAGTAGAGGGCTCTGATGCCACATGGCCCGCAGTTCTTCTTGGCTTAAGGGAGGACAGAAGAGGCAGTGGCCAACGTGTACTGTCCTAGAGATGTTTGGCGCTCCCTTCAGTTCCTTCTCTGGGGTTTCTACCTACTACACAGGGGCCTCTTAAGTTAATGGCTATTTATAAAGGCCTGAAAGGGAAAGAGAGGCAGGACCTGACACAGCCATTTCCACAACTTAGGGGTACTGTGTTCACTGAAGCTTTGTGGTCCCCAGTGCCATAAATGAGAGTAAGCAGACGTGTGACTTTGGGGAAGAGCGCAGAAACACATCCAACAGTTCAGATTATACATCGCCCACAGCCATCTGTTTGACTAAGGGAGGAGCTCCTGTCTCCAGTCTGCTCTGGAGAGTAGAGCAGAGGTTCTTCACCCTTCAGCCGCCTGCACCTTGGCCTAGAGGGCACACAACACTATGTGCTCATGTGTTGACTTCCTGGCTTGGCACATGACTAAGTGGGTGTTGCCAACCCCCCAAACTGCCACTGGTCAGCAACAGTAATCAGCACTGGGCTGGAGGGGAGTCTGGATGCAACCAGTGGGTAAGAATAAGTGGGTAGGAGGTTAAGATTGGAGGGATGGTTTTCTAAGTTCCAGAGACCACCCAAGAAAAGCCCACCATATTCTCTCATGGCCAGGGAGTCCCCATAAGGGGAAGAGACATGAAATCAATAGTTGGTTGTATTATGTAGAACAGTTAGGCCCAATCTAGGCTGGCCTCCCACAGACCACTCCTTTATTACACTGGCACCAAGATGAAGGCGCCACTGCCAAGCTGCCAGCTGGGAGCACTGATTATGGGGGATGGAAGAGAATGGGTGTCATTGTCTCTAGCACGTTATGATGGGGACACCAAAGAATGGACATTTATGCATGAAATGATCTCATTTTTGCCTGCTTTCCTCTCTCATTCTGCCTTTCCAATCCTTTAAGGTAGTGTAGAGACAAAGCATTTGTTCAACATAGGAAAAGAGGGTGTTGTTACAGGAAGTTGTTTATACCACTAAAGCTTTCCCCAAGAGCAAGCTGATTATTTGCTTGAAATTAATGATTCATCAGCCATTCACTACACATGTAATTAGCCCAGGTAAAAACAGATGACATTTCAGTGTCCTTGAGGTCAATTTTTTCCACTCCCAAGTTATTACCCTTTCCCCTCACCTTTGGCTTTCCTTATTTGTCTGAACTGCATCCCACCCACCATCATGAAGTTCCAGTTTGGGAAAAGTGGTTGCGTCTTTGGCAGGTTTGACTATGCACGGAAATGTTGGATTGTTCCCATTCATGCAGGGAAAGGGTAAATTTTTAACTATGGCATTGGAATGTGGTTGTACTCATCCTATGTTCTACACACTCATTGGACAAATGGCGGGGAGGAAAGTAGTGAGCCACCAGCTGGGTGCAGGCAGAACTGCAGCAGAATTTCATGTTTTTTGCTAAGAGGAGTTAATCACTCCTTAAGCAGTCTTCCAACCTCCTAACAGGGTCTCTATTTATGTATTAAGAAAGCACAGCCCTTCAACACTGATCTTAAGAACAGGCATCTTTTTTTTTTTTTCAGCAAAATGAGATATATTTAAATTTCTTTTTTTTTATTTTTCTTTTATTATTCATATGTGCATACAAGGCTTGGGTCATTTCTCCCCCCTGCCCCAACCCCCTCCCTTACCACCCACTCCACCTCCTCCCTCTCCCCCCCCCTCAATACCCAGCAGAAACTATTTTGCCCTTATTTCTAATTTTGTTGTAGAGAGAGTATAAGCCATAATAGGAAGGAACAAGGGTTTTTGCTGGTTGAGATAAGGATAGCTATACAGGGCATTGACTCACATTGATTTCCTGTGCGTGGGTGTTACCTTCTAGGTTAATTCTTTTTGATCTAACCTTTTCTCTAGTACCTGGTCCCCTTTTCCTATTGGCCTCAGTTGCTTTAAGGTATCTGCTTTAGTTTCTCTGCGTTAAGGGCAACAAATGCTAGCTAGTTTTTTAGGTGTCTTACCTATCCTCACCCCTCCCTTGTGTGCTCTCGCTTTTATCATGTGCTCATAGTCCAATCCTATTGTTGTGTTTGCCCTTGATCTAATGTCCACATATGAGGGAGAACATACGATTTTTGGTTTTTTGAGCCAGGCTAACCTCACTCAGAATGACGTTCTCCAATTCCATCCATTTACCAGCAAATGATAACATTTCGTTCTTCTTCATGGCTGCATAGAATTCAATTGTGTAGACATACCACATTTTCTTAATCCATTTGTCAGTGCTGGGGCATCTTGGCTGTTTCCATAACTTGGCTATTGTGAATAGTGCTGTAATAAACATGGGTGTGCAGGTGCCTCTGGAGTAACAGTCTTTTGGGTATATCCCCAAGAGTGGTATTGCTGGATCAAATGGTAGATCGATGTCCAGCTTTTTAAGTAGCCTCCAAATTTTTTTCCAGAGTGGTTGTACTAGTCTACATTCCCACCAACAGTGTAAGAGGGTTCCTTTTTCCCCGCATCCTCGCCAACACCTGTTGTTGGTGGTGTTGCTAATGATGGCTATTCTAACAGGGGTGAGGTGGAATCTTAGTGTGGTTTTAATTTGCATTTCCTTTATTGCTAGATGGTGAGCATTTTTTCATGTGCTTTCTGGCCATTTGAATTTCTTCTTTTGAGAAAGTTCTGTTTAGTTCACGTGCCCATTTCTTTATTGGTTCATTAGTTTTGGGAGAATTTAGTTTTTTAAGTTCCCTGTATATTCTGGTTATCAGTCCTTTGTCTGATGTATAGTTGGCAAATATTTTCTCTCACTCTGTGGGTGTTCTCTTCAGTTTAGAGACCATTTCTTTTGATGAACAGAAGCTTTTTAGTTTTATGAGGTCCCATTTATCTATGCTATCTCTTAGTTGCTGTGCTGCTGGGGTTTCATTGAGAAAGTTCTTACCTATACCTACTAACACCAGAGTATTTCCTACTCTTTCTTGTATCAACTTAAGAGTTTGTGGTCTGATATTAAGATCCTTGATCCATTTTGAGTTAATCTTGGTATACGGTGATATACATGGATCTAGTTTCAGTTTTTTGCAGACTGCTAACCAGTTTTTCCCAGCAGTTTTTGTTGAAGAGGCTGCTATTTCTCCATCGTATATTTTTAGCTCCTTTGTCAAAGATAAGTTGCTTATAGTTGTGTGGCTTCATATCTGGGTCCTCTATTCTGAAGAACAGGCATCTTAATGAACGTGGCCTAGCACTCAGGAGGCAGAGGCAAGAGGATCTCCAGTTCAAGGTCAGCCTGAGTTACATTGTGAGATGTCCCAATACAATAAAAAAAAACAAAACAAACAAAGGGCTGGGGACACAGCTCAAGTGGTATAGTACCTTGCCTAGCTACTAAAAGCAAAAGCAAAGCCTGACATCTCAGACCTTGAGTGGAACTTAACAGCATAAAATCAGTAGGTTGGTTGTTTGGTGTAGGAAACACAAATGCCTGCTGTTGTCCAGGCCTTGGCCACAGGTGGGGAAAAGTAAAACTCTAGAGAAGGCTCTGGTTCATGAAGCCTAAAGGACCACAGGCACCTGAGTACAGCTTACTCCAGGAAGCAAGTAGCCTGGGGAGTTCAAAGCTGGTAGTGTCACTGACTCATCAGTACCTGATGGACAGGGAAACTAGGGCAGGACTCCAATGATCCAGCAGTGAAACCCAATGATCCCAAGCAGCACCCAGCCTGCTTGGACTCTGGGGTAACCAACCTCTAAGGGATGACTCTGAGTCCTCAACAGAGAAGGCTCGTTTCCCCTGGATCCCCAGTGCCCGGCACCATGGCTGGCACACAGAAAATGCTCAATATCCAGTCAAGACAAGACACTATGAGCAGGGCTGACGGTGCTAAGGAGAAGCTTGAGAGGAGCTCTTCCACAGGAGGCAGGGGACTCGCCCTTCAGAAGATTCTTTTATTAAAACTGGGTGACACTGATAAGGGAACAGTACAAAAAAAATTTTGGTCCATGAAAAAAAACCCATAATAATTCAGTTAATAAACAGTTATCACCAACAGGGACACTGCAGAGTGCTGAGCTTCCTCGTAGTTCTAGCCAGGAGCCAGACCTGGGCTCTCAGCTACCTCAGGGGTGTCCACTGTCATTGTGGCGAGAACCTTTTGAGGGAGGGTGGGTATGTGGCAGGAAGGGGAAGATGGGGAGAAAACTGCTGTCTGCAGTGTAGACCAGGCAGGGACAAGGGGTAGGGGATGTGCTCGCAGGAGCCTGAGGAGGGGTGGGGAAGCAGGGGCTTTGTCAGTTCTGTGGGTTGAGAGCCCATGCTGAACAGAATCCCCCTCTTGTGCCCAGCTGTCTCCCACCCTACTGTGTTGTCTGCGAGCCTGGGATATGCTAACTCGGGGGTGATACAACCTGGAAGAATCTGAAGCTCTCCTGGAAAGATGCAAAGCCATCTTAGTTCCAAGGGGCCAAGATCACAAGGTCCTGCTGCTACCTGAGGGGTCTGAAGCTTTTGAGGGCAGGGGCTAGGGAGTCACAATCCTGTGATGTAGGGAGAGGGGAGTCACAAACCCATCTCAGAGCTATTCTCCAGCCTTAGGCGCTTTCACTCCTCAGTGCCCTAGAAGTCACCAGGGGTGTCAACTGGGCAAACAATGGACAGGAAGACAGGGATGGCCCAGGGCTTTACCCGTTTGATTTTAGGCCTGTTTCTCCATTAAGGGAGGGGGCAGGGCGGAGTGAATGAATGAGTCACTCCTATGAGCAGCAGGAAAGAACAGCCTCTGCTGGCAATAACAGTACTCCAGATTAGATCCGTGGGGCCCTGACAGGGAAAGGCAAGATTCCCTACTCAAATGCCGTGGGTTATGGCAAATGTGAGGCAATCCTACAAAGGGCAGCCATGGGAGTGTTTGAGAGGGAGCAACAGTTCAAGAACAAACTCCAATACTGATGTGGACTCCTAAGGAGTCAGAAGCACTGAAACAGCAGGCCAGTCCTGAAGGCAGGGACTCAGAGGAGCCCAAGAGCCAGGGTTCCTTTAGTGCTAGAGGGCAACAAGTAAAGGGAGAGTTTGCTTGAAATCTGTGGAGAGAAGGAAGGAAATTGGATTCTGTTATCAGGAGGGCCAAGATCAACTAGCTTATAGAGCACCCCTAGGCCTGAGTGAGTCTTGGAGGAGGGGCTACAGCTCCCAACTCCTGGGTCTCTGAAGGGCAGGATCAGTGTAGTTGGTCTCCCTGCAGACCACCTGGCCTTAGTCCCAATCCATTCAGAGCACTGATTACCATTATGGGTTCTCTAACACTAACTAGAGGTCCTATGTAGACCAAGGAAGGTAGAGGCACATGGGAACTTTGTGGGGTAAAAGGAAGCTGGGAGTGGGAAGGGATGGGGTGAGAGAAGAGGATAACAGGTGTCTGTGAGACAGAAATGTGAGACCTCTTCATTCTGGTGTTGTCCTTGAACCAACAGCATCCCCAAAAAGGCCCCAAGCAAGACCAAGGCAGGTGCTATGAGGCAGGCAGCACAGGGCCCAAATAAAGAATCGGTGCAGCCAAATCAGGGCTATAAAAGCCCTATGTATTCCGGATTCCCAGGGCTTGCTCTAATTCTTGTCGTCTCTGCTGCACCTGGGGAGAAAATAGATGAATGGAAGATGAGAAGAATACAAGCTATTATCTAATACCACTGACCCCCATTAGTGGCACAGACCCTGGTGTGCCCTAGACACTGCACCTACCTTGGAGTAGAAGTATCGGCACACAGCTTCCTGAGCCCAAGGCTGGAAGTAGAACTCAGCTCGGCGCTCCTCCTCTGGGTTACCCACCACATCGGTCATGGTCTGAGGGAGAAGCAGTGCAGAGGGAGAACAGACTTTGTTTTCCTGCCTTTATAACTGTTATTGGTCGAATTGTATCCCCCCCAAAAGATGCTGAAATCCTAATCCCTCAGTACCTGTAAATGTAACCTTATTTGGAAATAGGGTCTCTGCAGATGATCAAGTTAAGATGAGGTCATTAGGGTGGGCCCTAATCCAATATGACTGGTATCCTTATGAAGAGGGGAAATTTGGACACAGAGACAGACACATACAGAAGCAACATGATGTAAAGATACACAGAGAATGCCAAGTACAAGACAAGGAATACCCGAGGCCATAAGAAGCTAGCAGAAAAGCATGGGATTGATTCTCCCTCACAGCCCTTAGAAGGAACCAATTCTGCTGACACCTGGATTTTGGACTTCCAGCCTCCACAATTGTGAGACAAATTTCTGTTGCCTAAGCCACCCAGTTCATGTTCATTTGCTACTGCAGCCTCAACAAACTAACAATACCCAAAGCCACCCTGGTTATCATATTATTGCCTTGTCCGGGGCCCTTTCCAGCACCCTAAACAAGGCTCTTAGCTCCTCTGCTCAACCTTTGTAACTGTAATCACAGCATCTACTCAGGGCACATTTTACACCTTCTGTGCCTTTAGGATGTACTTCTCTCTGGGAAATATCTTTAAATCCTAAGTTGTTCATGAAGTCTTTCCCCAGTGATTTTAGCCTCACTGATCTCCCTTTTCCTCTGAATTGCCTTATTGATTCCAGTCAATTCTGATAATGTCTTATGGTTTACCACTTTGTAGTCATAGCAACCCAGTTTCTCCAAATAGAATGCATGTTGCTAGCTATTCAGGAGGCAGAGATCACGAGGATTGTGGTTTGAAGCCAGTCTGGGCAAATAGTTCACAAGACCCTACCTCAAAAAAAAAAAAAAAAAAAAAAAATCCCAAAATAGGGTTGGTGGAGTGGCATATTGCTTTGACAGCAGAGACCAGATCTTCCTTTTTCTATCCCTGACAACCGAAGCAGTGACAGCACTGGGTGAGTACTAACTCAGTGCTCGATGGTTCTGCCTCCATTTCCCTATGCAAGTGTAAAATGGACCCTGGGATCTGCTGAAGAAAAATCTGATCCCTCACTTCCCCCTTCAACTCTTCTACCAGCTGTTCAGAAGTAAAGCAGATGTGGACCTCATTGACTGAGTCCCTTTAGACCTTTCTTAGATTCTTTACCTTGAGGTCCCGGCACTGGGACTGAAGCCAGTCATTGATGAACCCCTGAGGGTCTCTGGCAAAGCTCAGCATGAACTCCCGCTGGGTCTTCAGCTGATTGATAGTTTCTATTGTCTCATGGATCTGAAAGGAAATGGATACACATACCATTTTCAAGCTAGGGAAACACAAAGCTAAATGGCAGACAGTACTTGCCATCTCTGTGTGCTTTTCCCAATACAGACACAAAGCTTCCACTGCTCCAGCCCTCAGCATTCTTTCAGCAGGTGATGTGCTCTTGTTTCTGTTTCTGACTATCCCATGCATGGGAAGTTGTCCTTTTAGCCTCCTCAATGTATCTACTACACAGTGAATGCTTAATCCATGACCACTGACAGGGTCATGATCCCTTTAAACCCCAACCAACCCAACTCTTTCTTGACACATGAAGACACTTTAAACTTAACATCTCTAAAACTGAATTCATTGTTTTTTTCCCTAATGCCTGTTCCTCCTCTTCCAAATTTTAATGGATACTAATCTCTATCCAGAAGCCTGGGAATCATCATGATGCTTTCTTCTCCCTCCCATCCATACAGTGTCCAAATCCCTTAATTCTACTTTGAAACTTCTCAGACTGCTTTTTTCCTCCCTCCCTGTCTGTGCCTGAAGTTTAGGGCCTCAACATATTTCATACAGATTACTATGGGCCTCCTAACTGGGCTTCCTGCCTCCATATCCACCTTCCTTACAACTCACTCTCTACCTTTCCACCAGCAATTATTCTAGGTCTCCACGAAGCTTCCTAACTTGGTCTGCAGGATGAAGTAGGAACTTGTTTTCCAGCATCAAATCTTTATAATTAGGGCTGGGGGTGTGGTTTAAGTGGTAGAGCACCTCCCTAGCAAGCATGAGGCTGAGTTTAAACCCCAGTATCTCCAAAAAAAAAAAGGCTTCATGATTAGGCTCCTGCTTCTCCAAATACCTTCCTTTTCCCCAAACATCTCACCTCTGGTACCCTGTGCTCTATCTAGCATATCCAATAGCTTATACTTCTTGGAAACACCAGCCTGTCATTCCTCTTGAGACTGTTACATACCCTGTTGCATCTTTTTTCTGGAATGTCCATTGCCTTCTATACCCTCAGTACCACTATCATTTCTCCCCTTTTATTAACTCCCATTTTGCCCATCAAGATCTTGTTGAGGTGTCTACTCTCCCCTCCTTTGTGTTTGCAGAGCACTTCCAGCTTTGCCTGCAGGGACTATGCCTGATAACGAACATTAAGGGTGATGATGGTTGTAGCAATAACAATAGCAAGAATTACCATTTGCTGTTAAGTGCTAGACACAGTTTCATGTCCTTAAACACAATATCGCATTTCATCCTCAGACATGCCAGCCTTATAAAAATAGATAGGTATTATGGCCCCTGTTTCACAGACCAGAAACTGAGGCTCAACGCTCTTAGAAGGTACAGCCAAAATTAGAACTCATGTGAATCTGGCTCCAATCAGCACCAAGCATACTGCCTGACATATATTATCAATACACTCTGAATTAAAACTAGTTATCACCAGACCCTGGTGGCTCACTCCTATAATCCTAATTACTCTAGAAGGCAGAAATCAAGAGGATTGTGGTTCAAAGCCAGCAGTTCAAAGCCAGCCTGGGGAAATAGTTCTTGAAAATACCCAGTACAAAAAGGGCTGGTAGAGTGGCTCAAGTAGTAGAGAGTCTGCCTAGCAAGTATGACTCCAGACCACCAGAAAAAAAAAAAAAAATGCACCAGGAATCAAAAAGGAAGTCAAGAAGATGGGAAGCTGGGATAGAGGTAGAACTGGTAGCACCCAAATTATCCAGACAGAGATCCCTACCTTGTTGTCTAAAGTAGCAATCTCTTGTTGGCTGGCAGTGGACAGAAGAAAAGAATTCATCTGGGTCTTCAAGGTATCATCCACTTCCACATCAATATCGTAACAAGCTGTCTTTTTCTGGTCATTTGGGTCAACACTGGGGAGAAAACCAAAGGGATCTGGTAAAAAGCTTGTCCTGAGGCCTAATTACACAGGGCCAAAAAGATGGTCCAGAGACGAATGGGAAGAGAGTTGACTGAAAAAGGGCCATGTACTCTTGGGTGCAACAGAACTACTCTGAACCTTCACTGCAATGGTAGCTGCATAGTGTATGCATCTACCCAAAGTCTTCAGACTATATTTTAAGTGGGTGTAATTTATTATATACAAACACAAATTCTACCTTGATAAAGGTTTTTTTTTTTTTTTTGTGAGAACAGGATTTGAACTTAGGGCTTTGTACTTGTAAAGCAGGCACTCTACCACTTGAGCCACACCTCCAGTCCATTTTTCTCTGGTTATTTGGAGATGGGTTCTCATGAACTATTTGCCTACGCTGGCCTTGAACCACAATTCTCCCAATCTCGGTTTCCTAAGTAGCTAGGATTATGGGCGCAAGCCACTGGAGCCTGGATAAAGTTTTTGGGTTTTTTTAAAAAAAAAAACAAAAAACAAAAAAACAATTTACCAATGGTAAACATTCAAATAGCACAAAAGGTATATAGTGAAAAAGAACTTCTTTTCCTCCCACAGGAAACCACTACTAGAGAATCTTGTATCTCTCCCTTTTAAAATAAATTGCCCAAATAAAACACACACACACACACACCTAAAAATAAGAAGTGGTCTAACTTTAAGCATAGGAATCCAAGACAGACTGGCTTCTGAGGACCCCATGTATAGGCTGGAAGAGTTATTACAGGGCCTAGGGACTTGACATGGCACAATGAAAGGAGGGCAAAGATATACCCAGCTATAGTGATATGATGCTTTGAGGAGGAAGTACCTTTCTTTACTCCCTATTTGATCTTCTGAATAAAAAAGCAATGCAGCCGGAGTCTAAGACTGGAAGCCTTACTATCCAAAGAAAAAGACAGCTGCTGACCCCTCCCCTCCCACAATGATGAGCTGGTAAAGGCTTAATGGATCCTCCAAAGGGTGAGGGAAGCCCTGATGTGTGCAGTGTTTGCTGATTTCCAGCCACCAACTTCTGTCACTAATCAGGGAGTTGGGAAGAGCTGTACAACAGCACATCGTTATGTAGTGGTACTTCTACCATGCAGACAGAAAAGTAGCCTTGAGAGCACAAATACTAACAAAATGTAATCACTAGGAAATGGTTAAGTTTTGAGTATATATTACCCTCACTTTTAGTATAGTTAAATTTTAAATAACAGCTGTGTCATACAACCTGCTTGCAAAATTCCTGCAAGTCTAACAACTGTCTGTGCGAACTGGTACATACCTCCCATACACAAGCTTACCTAATGACATGGTTAATGATAATGGGTTCTGGTGGCATGAGCAAGGCATGCAGCCGTTGAGGGATCTCTGAAAACTTCATACGTTGAGATTCAAAGATCTGTGATAAAGAGAAGCAGCTACAAATTGGCATTTTGAGTATAATTAGTGCTCTTGTGGATTCTAGCAAAAAAATGGGTCCTTACATACCTGCTGGAGGTACTTGTCACAGATGACAAATTCCCGCTCATGAGGGTCCTGGAGCTTATGTGTCTTAATATACTGCCATAGTGCTTGGATGATCACTGGACGGGTCTGGGTGTGGATGCCCAGGAGCCGAGCCAGGCGAGGGTCTAATTTAAACTGGGGAGGCTACAGAGAACCAAAAAGTATAAGGGGTAAAGCCAGTAAGCTGTGTGCATTTTGGGGTAATCAGTATGGCTACACAATCAATCTAGTCAGCAAACATTAATATAGTACTTTCTCTGGGATAGGAAAACAGCAGGAGGCACTTGGAGATGACTAAGAACTATTCCTGTACTAAAGTCACGAGTTATTCACAACTGACTTAAACCCTTAAAAGTTGGACTGCTGATGGGATACAGCTGTGAAAGCTGGACCCCCTCACACTTCCACAGTATACCTGGTAATCCAGCATCAGTAGAACAGTACATCGTACATTCACGTCTCCTGGCCGCTTCACCTGGAAGCCATCAGTCTCCTGGGTAGTGGCGGTCCTGTGCCACTACAGAGAGGAAGATGTCAGGGGGGCTCTCCCAGAGGAAGAGCTGGGGTGGGAGGGAAGAGCTTCTGTAATGACTTAGCGTTCAACTTTGATTACTGAGGCTACTGGAGAAGAGCAATACCATGTGGCATCTCTAAAGACTGCAAACAGCTTTGGTATTTTCATCTGTGTGTAAGCAGATTAGCCTTTTAATTCTGAGTGTTTGGGATCACATTTAAATTAGCCTGAATTTCCAGTGATAATTTTACCCACAAAATGGAAAATACATATGGGAACATAAACATAATGTAGCTAGCATTTACTGTGTACTTACTATGTACAAAAGTATTCTAAGACATTTACCTGGCTTATCATTTAATTCCCAAACATCCATTTAAAATAGGCACGATTATACCTATTTTACAGATGAGAAAACTAGTGCCTAGAAGAATGAAGTAACTTGCCTAGGTCAAATAGTAAGTGGTAGAGCTCTGGTGTGTCTGACTCTACAGTCCACATTCTTAGCTACTATACTCTACTTCTATAAAATCAGATTAAATATATTTACAAATTTCTATTGATTCTATGACTTACTTCCCTTATTAGATGGTAAAGACCTTCCCATGTCTCTTAGTGGTTGAGGTTAAGGGGCTGCAGCTACACTGGCAAAGAAAGGAGCAGGTTAAGTTCATGTGGAACACTGGACTATCATCCTGGGTCTATATCGCAAAGAACACTGCTGCGAACGTGGTCTTCAAAACACTGCACAATCAGGCATTATAATGAAGGATTTCTGGTGATTTGGAACGTGTAACTAAGGGAACAGGAACCAAAACAAAGTCTCATACCTATAAAAGTAACCTAGGCAAGTACTAACACCCTATTAGTCAGCCCCTTTAACTACAGCAACTGCTATCAGGAAAATTTATGAATGGTGTGCGGGTAACTACAACTCACCATTATTAACAAGCAAGATGCAGAGATGGCCTGGTATGTACAAGAGGCCTCCATAAGAATTTTCCTTGAAAGTGAGGGCAGTGGTCAGGATAATAACATTAAAAAGGGGTACAAGCCATATTGCAAGAACTCTAGTGTCACCTAGAGGTCAATGTACAAATTGCAATGGTAGACTGGCATACCTGGGGTAACCCTTTATTTTATACCTCCCCCTCCCCCTAGATATTCAAGTTTGGCTCCCAGGTCCATCATCCTCCAGCCACAGAGTTAAAGCCTAGAATGCAGAACTACTTACTTCTACCAAATGGTTATCTGGCCCATATAGGTCTTTGTCCAATTCGATCACCAAGGACTTAAAAAAGGAAGAGAATTTCCTCTTTTGTTTCGTGGCATCATATTTGGACAAGGCTGACTAGAAGAGAGAGAGAAAGGTCATGTTAGAAAAGACCAGAAAAGCTAGTGGGTGGCTCAAGCCATAAGAGCACCTACCTAACAAGTGTGAGGCCCTGAGTTCAAACCCCAGTGCAGCAAAAAAAAAAAAAGGACCCCACAACAGCAACAGGAAAAAACTGAAAAAAAAAAAAAAGTCTTCTGGGTTTCTCTTTAGAGATGGCAAGATAGACATGTATGGATATTAAACCAATCACAGTGGCAATAGAACCCTGAAGTAACAAGGACAGGGTCATTGACTTATGTATCTCATTTCCCTAGGAGAAAGGAGGCAAGTTAAGCCAAACCATTGCACATAACAAAGTGCATTTGAACAGAGAAAAATCTGACTGTAGAGGAGAAATGAATCACAGGCAGTAAGCAGTCAGAACAAAAACAGCTTTATTTGGACAGAATGACATGACCAGCAGATGGACTGGACCTATATAGAGAAGGAGACTCTGACACTGAGTCCTGGTTCTCCTGCAAAAATGCATTCAAATTTGCTTGCCTGCAAGCAGCTAAAAATACAGCAAGAAAGTACAAGGGAAGGAGAGAAAGGTGAGCTTCCTCAAAGAGCTGCTGGAGTGGGAAGTTTGGGGGCTATCACCTGTCAGTTAATACTCCCCATGAAGTAACAAAGAACCTACTGAAGAAATCGATCCCTCTTAAATTGCGGGACATCTCCAGTGAAAACTGGGAAGACAGAAATGCCACAATGGGAATCAAGGACTCACTTAAAATAAACAACCAACCAACAACAAAAAACCTAACTAATCTGCAGATATTGCTAAATTCAATGGCCAGTAGCACCAGGAGTAAGGTAAACAACATATCAGATCCCAGGACAATAAGGTTTTTGATATGACACCAGTGAGGGCCAAAGCCATGGGAGCAGATACAAAAGATCATTGTCTTTCTGTGCAGAGAACAGAGTGTCCCTCTCCCTGATGCTTCCAGCAGGAGCTGTGAGACTCAGTTAGGCTTCCTGCAGACCAGACAAAATTGCTTAGTCCCAGCAGCTCCCACTCTGCACACCAACCACAGTGGACCTTGAACTTACATCCTCCAGGAGCCGTCCTTCTACCCGAAGCTCCCAGGAAGCCACTGTCCCTTCCCCATCTTCGGCATCTGACTTAGCCGGATTGAAAGTGTTAGAAATGAAAATTCGAAGCTTCCGTTTTTGCTGAGGAAGGCAGAGACAGGATAGCTTCAGTGTGTTGATATTGAAGACAAGGGTCTCCCCAATTCCCAAAATCACTCCTAACAGACTGGCTTACTATTTATCTAGTCTTTCAGGTGGATGGATAAAGATTCCATTTAGAAGAGTACAGGCCATTGGCCTGAGTACAAGTATATACATTGGGCTTGCCAGGTGGACAAAGTCATGAAAGGTGCCAGGTTCCCAAGGTAGCAGAGCAGTTATAGCAAAAACGTGGATAGGGTATATTTCTGGTGAAGAAACATCAAAAGCCCCACCCCTTGCTATTCTGTTCTTATGCTCCTAATGTAATTCTTGGTTGTAGGCAGAAGGGAGAGATGCAATTTAAATGCCAGGGAGAACTGTGCTGTACCCTCGATTTCTCATCCTAAGCCTGGGGAAGATTCCCAAGTCCTCTCTTTTGGCTCTCTGCCTAGTGTTTTCCTGTGTTACCTTGATGGGACGTTTCAAGGCCTCCTGAATATCTAGCCGTTTCCTCATGATAGTCTGGTCCAGTTTCCTTTCAAAAGCCAAGAGATCCATATAGGCCTGGGATTCTGGTACCAGTTCACGAATCTTAGGAAGAGAACGATATGATTGGGAGTTTGAGCTCATCATCTCTATTCTCAAACTTATCACACCTTCAAGAAGGCCTATAGCCGGGACTCACCCTTTGAGGTAGAATTTTGTCAGCCATCTTCTTTTTCTTTGCACTGTTCAGAATAAATACTGTTATCAGGTTGGGATAGAACTAGTCAGAACATGAAGATAAGCTGTCAGCACCTCCATTTATAGTAAAATGAAGGCCTGCAAAGCTTCTCTCAAATTAAAGAAACTCCTTCCCCCATTACCACCACCAACTCCATTTCCACCATCATTACCACCACCAGTACCCCATCACCAACATAATAAGGCATTCTCGAGGGTGGGTGTCATAGCACCATCTGCTGATACAGCACCACTACTTCTTGGTTCAGGTATATCCACCACCTGAGTCCTCACAGGCCTCCCCATTCCCTCCCTTCCTCTACTCCAGGTCATCTTACTTGTGGTTTCGATTTTGGACCGCCTGCTGCTGGACCTGCTGGATCTGTTGAGGCGCAGGTCTCTTGCGGGACTGGTCCATCCCTGACTGGGCCAGGCCAGGTCGGACTGAAGGGTTCCCCCCATAGCCAGGAGGTCCCATGGAAGGTCCCTGAGGTGTCATTCGGCTGCCTGGCAGCATACCTGGTCTCTACAAAGGGGAGAGAACCCAGAGATGTCATGGCTTCCCAAGCCAACACCACCAAGAAAGGAAAAGTGGGGGAAGCCTGAGTTCTTCCAATAGAACAAGGCTGGAGGGTGAGGTGGAGGTCAATGAGCCAAGAGCCCTTTGCCTCTCTGACATATAGGTAACTGGACCATCCTCTGACCCCAATAGTGATTCTACAGAAAATGTCCCCAAAACTACACGAGAGCCATATTATACTCAAATTCTCCCCAGTCCACGTTGGATCTGAATCATTGGACATCTCTAGTCCCGCTTTCACTCTGCCAGCTACCATCTCCTCTGAAGCTAACCTCAGTTTGCAGCTACATCTTGGGGTGTTCCTCTGAGCACCGGAGCTGCCCATGCCCCTTTGCACTCCATGGCCATCTCAGGCCCCACTTCATTCGCTCGACTCCTCCCCACGGAAACAATGCCTCAGGAAGCAGGTGGGGATGCTAACTGCCTCCCCCACCCCTATCCAGGGCCCGAACCCCTCCTACTTCTCTCCCACCCCTGTCACTCCCAGGCCTCCTCTCGGCCCCGCCCCCGGCCCGCGCGCCCCTCCTCCTGCCCCACTCACCGGATAGGCCGCCCCGGGCATCGGGGATCGGTACAGCCCTTGACCCGGCGCCGGGCCCATTCGCACAGGAGGGCCGGGAGTTCCGCCCGGGCCCAGAGCAGCTGCCGCGCCCGCCCCTCCTGAGGCTCCGGCCCCGCCGCTCGGAGCTACAGACTGGAAACCCGCCCGGGCCGCCATCTTCCCGGAGCCGCCGAGGCAGCTGCACAAAGAACCGGAACCGGAACTCCCCCCGCCCCCCGCGCGCCCCCCGAGCGCCTGCCTGTTTGTGAGCCCGCCGGGTGGGCAGGCGCGGGAGGCTTAGGGCAGCGAGATTGTGGGCTAGAGGAGACGACTAGCGGAAAAGGCGTGCTGACCACTCCCTCCTGCCTTCACGGTCCGGGAGGGAGCACCATCGAGAAGAGCTGTGGGATAGAGAGGCCGCGTGAGCGGGCGCCCCCAGGCCGACGGGAGGAAGACCCGCCCCCCACAACCCTGAGGAAGAGGGGCTGGAGTGACAGCTTCACCTTTGCGCGGCGCATTTACCTGTTCAAAGAGCTGAGATTGCTTTTCGTTTCATTCTCTTGCTGCTATAACTCCGGGTAGCCGAAGAGGAGAATGCACTGTTTATTTCATTTTACAAATGGGAAAGATGAACTCAAAGGAGGTACATGATGAACCAGCAAGTTAGCAGTAAAGCCAGGACTCCTGGTTCGTAGCCCGGGACCGATTCTACTCAATAACTGCCTCAATAACTGCCTCACGCGAGAATTTCAACTTCCTTTCACACCTTTAACCTATCCTGCTTCCAGATTTTAAGTTCCAGTTTATCTTGAATTTTGATCCTGCCCCTCTCCAAAGAATCCTTGGTGTTGGGACTTCTCTTTGGGAACTTTGTTACCCTTGATCTTTTCCTTCTTTCCCTGCCCAGTGATTCAAACCATTCCTGGTGTGATGATCAGCCTGTCCCACCCTTGGAGGACCAGTGTCTGTTTCCCTGCTCAAATCTTGGTACTCCTGCTCTGATTGTGTGGCTCCAAGCCAAGCTCAGCTGTAGTAGGAATAGCTAAAAACTCTTCAAATAAAAAGAACAACACTGAAGAGGAGATGGTTGAAACCCAGTTTATTAGACCAGAGGCATGCGTCACCCAGAGCCCTGCCTGCTGTCCCCCATTTAGTGCACACTTTTAGGCCTTCCTCCTGCTTCCCTTTGGGAAGAGGTGATCTCTAAGGAACTCTTGGGAATTAAAAGTTCCCATTAGTTCCCAAGAGTTCCTATAATCTCACTCTTTAGCTCCAGGCCAATGCACAGGTCCTGTTCTGGGAATGTAGACCAAGAGACAGCTGGGCTGAGAAGGCCTGGGAAGGGGTTGGGGCTCTGGCCTGGAAGGAATGCCTGGTGGAGGGGGTGGGGCAGGCCCTCTCCCTCACTTGTCTCTCACTAAGGTAGGGAGGGATAGAACAGCAGAGCTTTCAACTCCCACCCCCCCCCAGGTCTGCCTCTTTCCTCCTATGACCAAACCCTGCCTCACCAGAAAATATGAATGGTGGGCTTAGACATCAGGTGAGGAAGGGGGGCTGGGCACCCAGAAGGAGGGAAAGGCCACTGACTGAGGATGTCAACTTCTGCCTGTGGGCACCTTCTGCCCCAGCTGCAGGAGTCACCAATCCCTGGCTCCCTTCTGTTTTTAACACTCTTAGTTTAGTGTCCAGCACAGCTTTCCATCTCCTAGGTGGGGCTACCTCTGTAGCAACCCCGTCCCTGAGGAGGCCACAGTCAGCCAGACAAAGGGCATTGGGATAGTTGGAGCAGAGAAAGGGAATGTTAAGGCTGCAGGAAGGGCAGAGGGTGCCCGGGTTGAAGGGAGAGGGTGAGGCCAGAAAGAGGCAGAGCTTGTTATTCACAGCTTCCTTTATGTCGCCACCGAGACAGTGCGAAGGTTACAATGCGCGTGTCGTCTCCTTGTGCTTCTCAAAGGGATGTGTGTACACAGTACAGACACCAGGGAGAATCCAACTCTTTATACAGGCGAAGGCATTCAGAGACCAGGGACGGGGAAGAAACACAGAAGGGGGAACTTGGGGTGGGAGGATGGCTCTTAGAGACAAGAGGGGATGGGGTGGAGACAGACAAGGTTAGAGGAAAGTATATACAGAGATATAGCAATATAGAGTTTGTATCATATAGAAATAGAAAATGCAGATGAGGTTGTTGAAAGAAGCAAATGAAGTTGGGGAAGAGGATTTGGGAGAGTTCCATAAGAAAATTTATGGATGCGGCCCCCTGCCAGGGCCTCTGGGAGAGAAGCCAGTGAGGTCAGGCACCAGTGCCCCTCTCCCTGAGCTGGAAGATAACCAGCCAGGTCTTTTATGGGATATAGAGGGGGCTGCTTCTTGGGATTTCTCTCCAGCAGCTTTAGGGTGGGGTGAACTTGTAGGTATTAAGAAGATGTGGCCTACAGCACCAGGGCCACATCTTGTCTCTGTCTCCACTTCTTCAGGGGACTCCCCCACCCTCTAGAGAATCCACATGGTGTGAGGGAGTGAGATGAGGATTTAGTTCCTGCCTGGAGACTTGGGCTTGGGGGGAGCCACTGTACTGAGAGGGTCTCTTAAGGCTGGGGAAGCCCCCTCACTAGCCCTCCCCTTAAGGTACATTCTCTGGTTTGGGGCCAAATTCCAGACCCCTGGGATTCCCTTCACCCCTCACTGGGAGGGGGCTTTGGTGACTGGTGGCAGCAGAATGTAGGTGGACACTCAGATGACAGACAGTCAGACAGACAGAATTCAGGCTGGGCGCTAGGGGAGGCAGCATGGAGCAGCCTGAGGTCCCTTGCCCCATTCTCTCTCTGTTTTTTTTTTTTCAGATTAGTTTAGTTTTGTTAAAATTAAAATAATGGGGTAGAGGCAGGGAGAGAGGACTCTATGGTAAGACTCTTTCCTCACACAGACAAGAGGAAAGGACTGCCGAGGAGTGCAGATGAGCCCCCAGGGCAGATGTGGGGGGGCATCTGAGGGCCCCTTACTCTCCCGCCCTCCCCACCTAGGCCTTTGGTACAGTGGCCTGAGGGGCTCAGCAGGTAAAGTCCTCAAACGTGCCTCGGGCCGGATGGTGAGGTAGGATGTTGGCAGCATACGTCATCCCGGCCGGATGGCCCCGAAGGCTCTCGCAGGGGTTCTAAGGAAAGGGCATAGGACAGGGACTGGTTACGGAAAGGACCACAGGTCACACTGGGGTGGTGGGGACGCAAAGGAGAGAAGGTGCAGGGGAGAAGGGGTGGTCGTAGGGTGGTGAAGGAAGGGACGGGCTGGAGGGCCCTCACGTGTCTTTTGACATCGTCCAGGCTGAGGGCCACGCCCTTGTCCGCGCTGCTTCTCTTTGCCTCCTTCTGGCACTTCCCGCGTCTGCACAGCTTGTGCTTAATTACCTAGGAGGGGGCGGGGCGGGTGGGCGGACTGGAACCCGCCCCTCTCTGGCCCCGTCCCTCCCCCGCCCCCTTACCTCATAGGCGTAGTCAAAGAGCTCCAGGACGGTGAGGATGCTGGCCCCAATGAATAGCCCCATTTGGCCCCCGATGTCACCTGCAGGGGAGAGGGGAGTGAGGCGGCAGGGAGATCAGGAGGCTCAGGACACCATAGGGGTGGTTGGGATCAGTGGGACTGGGGCAGGCCAGGCACGTTCACAGAGGGATTGGCAACCTTTGTAAGGATTGCAGAGCCAGATTCTGACAGTATTTGTATTTTCTTCTCTATGCTTTTCTGCATCTTTCCACTTTCCCAAAATGAAAATGTATTATTGAGGAAAAAAGAATTGTTTACAAAATACCCCAACA